GCATTAATCTAATGCCTTTTTCATTTTATCAAAAATTGGAGATTCAGAAGATGAAGGCTACAAAAATGAAGATTCACATGGCGAACCATTCGGTGACACAACCCCGAGGCATAGTGGAGGATATTTTGGTGAGAATTGGAAAATTTATTTTTCCAATGACTTTGTAGTCTTGGACATGAAAGAAGATCCAGATGTTCCGATAATCCTAGGTCGGGCATTGCTCAACACTGCTGGTGCCCTTGTTGATATCCGCGAGTCGAAGCTAACTTTGAGGGTTGGAGATGAACAAGAAGTCTTTGGGATAAAGGATGACTTTCAAGAAAATAAAGAAGAGGTGTTCATAATTAATCAAGAGAATGAACTAGAAGAATTGGAAAAGCTTATGGAAGAAGAGATAAAAGTAGTTCATCAAGTTAAAATGACAAAACCAAAGGCATCTGTTCCATATTGGATTGAAGTCATAGCTTACAAGAGCCCGCCTTCTTGGGTAAGCAAAGAGGATGAGGAAATAACAAGTGATGAAGAGGAGGTCACTTCAAGAGTAACAAGGCCAGTGGTGAAAGCATAAGAGAATGACATAAATTACGAGGAGGAAACCAAGGGCACAAAATGCAAGCTTGAAGAAAAGGGAAAAGCTAAAAAGGAGAATTCAAAGAAGGCGTATAAAAGGAGAGTTCAAGCTTACAAAAGGCGGTTCGAGGAGCAAAAGATCTTGGTGGAGGACTCTTCCGAAGACTCAACGTAGGAGGCACGGAGTCCAGCTCAAGACTCCAAGAAAAAGAAGCGCTTCTCGGGAGGCAACCCGAGTTTGGTTTAAAACTTTTCTCTTTCTTTTTGCATTTTAGTTTTGAAAACTTAGATCGAGTCATCCAACGCTATTAGAACAAAATGTGGGGACCTTAAAACGAAAGTAGTAGTAATTAAGAACTTAGTTCAAACTCAGAAAAAATTTAATTATCCAGACTTAATTCACGACGTGAATAGTTAGCAATTCACGACGTGAATTGTGAATGAACCGGACACATAATCCATGATAAGGCTTAACCCATTAGACTAGCAAGCCCAAGACCAGTCCGTGAGTACATGGCCCAAACTTAAGCCCAACCACTACTCACGACGTGAATTGTATATAATTCACGACGTGAACTTTTACAAGTACGGGACCACATATTAAGTCCCTGGAAACCAGCAAACCCCCTTTCAATTGTTTATTGTTCACAAAGTGGAAACAAAAATTGGTCCCCATTGCTGCGAATTTAGCCGACAATCCTACTAATTACCATTGTGCTTATGTAATACTTCCAACAAAGGTACTAATTCTTGATTATTACGTTTAATTTTTGGTTCTAGTAGAGGAACTTAGGGTTAGGGTTTGTTAAATGATGAAATTAATTCTTTACAGCTCGTAAATAACCTTGGAATGTTCATGCTAAGTGTTTGGAAGTGGTATAGGAGTAAAACCCAGGGATATGTTGACTGGATTTTCCCCGATTGTGAAGATTCGACCTCCTGTGGTTACGAACTCACGACGTGAATCATACAAGATTCACGACGTGAATTCTGGTGTTAATCAAAATTCATTTTTTTTTTCTATGTTTGACTTGTGGGTATTTGTTTTGGCTGTTTCTTTTTCGTGTTTTTGCAGGAATGGATCCAAGAAGAGAGGCTCCAGCTGGGGTTGCGGGTTTACACCCGTTTTACAATTTTCCCGCGACGACGGCCCGTGATGTTTTGACCTGTTGGAACAACAGATTGGGATGGCTTTATAACATAGAAATTGCAGTTGCTCCAACAGTCAATTGGACAAGATTGGGGGAAGTAGGGCTCGTAGACCGGGTGGGCCCGTATTTGAAAAAGACATTTATTGGAGATGGCTATTCGTTCACCTGTTTAGGTTGGCAAAATCTGTTCCGGGTGCAAGAGCGGGTCTACAAGGAATTTTGTGTCGAGTTCTTCGCAACGGTGACGTTTCATGAAACGGTTCAAGATCCATATTGGCCACATGCGTTGGAATTTCGATTGGGGGGCGAGTACCGGGAGTGCAACCTAGTTGAGTTTGCTTGGAGAGTGGGACTGTATGATCGATAGGAGGTTGTGACTCCCGAGTTTGGCATGTTTTTAGGAGAGGCTGCTAGAGGATATATGGAGGGTGTCACGGGATATTCTTTTTGGCATAACATTGCCTCCAGGATGTTTAATTCCGGAGTATCTCCTGAGAGTAGTATTCGGTCCCCGATTCATCGTTTACTCCACCGGTTCATTACCTTTTCCATCAACCATAAGAGGCATGGCGACAAAGTGACTAAGCAGAACTTATTTTTCTTATGGTGCATCTTATAGCCTGGTGTCTGTTGTAACATCCCGTATTTCCTAGCCTGTTTTCTGGCTGGATCTGCTACAAGTTCGCGCCCTGGGAGCCCTATTTGTGGGGGTCATTTTGTTACTCATTTTGGCCCGTTCTTATCATCTGATTGTTCCCGATATTATTAGATCCATGACGTGTGTAGACGAACATGACTTTGGTATGGGATATTTGGAGACTATGCGAGTGGTCAGAAATTTTGGATCGCACTGGGGAATAGTTCCATCAGACGCTGAGGGTGAAGATGAGGATGATCAGCCAGCCGATCAACCTGCGCCAGAGCCGAGACCGAGACGCAGGAATGTAAGAGGAAGGGGGAGACCGCGGGCAGCCAACACACCCAACTGCTTCCATGGTGGGTGCACCTTTTGGGGGTGATATGGCTGGTTACTTTGACCAGTTATCGTTGAGTGTGAATTGGATAGGCGGCACGATGGAAAATGTGGTTCGGCATCTTGGGGTGGAGCAGCCGTCTCATTTAGGGTATCATTACCCGATTTGCCCGCGTTGGTCGGAGTATGGTGGTCGTGGAGGTGATGAAGCTGGTACCAGTGGAGCGCATGAAAATGAGGCGGATGATTGATCGTTATTTATTTTGTTTGATTTGTGTTTAGCTTCTTTTAGTTTATTTTAGTTTGTTTTTAGTTTTTTTTTAGGGGATTGTAAGAACTACTTTGAATATTATGTTACTTTTATTCTTCATTGTTGATTGTTTCTCAGAAATTGCTATGGAGTGCTTAGGAGGGATAGTGAGTTATGGATGCGTACATTTTTAGCTGGGAGTGTTTAATTCCGAGATTCGAGACCCATATTTTCACAATACGTTTGGGTTCTCACGACGTGAACATTTCTAATTCACGTCGTGAGTAAGTTATCAGGAGGTTGTCAGGATATGTTCAGTTCGATTTCACGTCGTGAATTATTACACGCTCACGTCGCCCGATTTCATGTTTTGCGGGTACACTCCTTATTTCGCGAGTTCCAGAATCAAGTTTCTATTTTTGGAAGTCCATATTCAAATTGCACATTTTCCGCACTTTTCGAGATGCTCACGCCGCTATTCCAGGGGAGTCTGTTCCTTTTACTCCCTTTTCTTTATTTTTTGATTTGTTTTTATACATACAATGAGGGCATTGTATGAAATAAGTGTGGGGTAGGGGTAGAAAAAGTAAATTGCTAGGAAATTTTGAAATTTCAAAATTTTGAAATTTCAAATTTTTATTAATTGAATCTAGTAATAATAATTTGAGCTATAATTGCTAGTATTATGCGGGATGATCCGATGAAAGTTCAAATGTTTAGTTGAGCCAATATACGTTATAGTGCACTTGTGGCTTCCCTTATTTTAGTGAAATCATGGAACAAAAACATAACCCTGCTCGGTTTGAAGGATGCAATACGTTTAGCAGCCTAAACCTGAAATGTATCCAGGAAAATTATTATCATTAACCAATAAAGGTTGAGGTTGAGCGCCTCTGCTTAAGCATGTAGGTTTTGAGTGAAAAAAGAGAGGTACATGTCAAAAAAAAAAGAGAGAATTACGAATAAGTTTGAAGAATTTTGGAGCAAATGAAGTGAAGATCAAAAGATCAAAATTCCAAGATATTCAAAAAGTCAAAGATACCAAGAAATCAAATCAATAAGGTGGTGAATTCAAAGAAATCAAAGATCAAATTATCAAGAAAGTGAAGAATTCCTAAAAAGCTCCATAGTGGTATCGGGAAAGAATTGTAATTCTAGTTTATGTATGCTTAGGTTGCTCAACTAAAAATACCTTGAGGTTAGGAGGTTTTCTGCGGATGGATTCGGAGGGTTGCATAAAATGAGCATTGTTCGGAAAAAAGTGGGCAAGTGTTTATGAAGATTGTGAGTATTTAAAGTATGGGGGGGGGGGTACTTTAGGAAAATTTTAGACACAAATGCATGCGTTGAGGTCTTGGCATAATGGCTGAATTGGAGTCGGATTGTTCAATGTAATGTTAGTTTAAATTTGCTTGAGGGCAAGCAAAGCCTAAGTGTGGGGTATTTGGATATTGCCATATTTATACTTATTTTTAGGCAATATTTAAGTACATTCTTATTGAAAAGTTGGTAATTTGTTTAGAATAATGGTACTTATGAACTTAAATCTTGTTTACAGCAAAAAAAGAAGACATTTTGAAGAAAAGAGGACTGGAAACGTTAAAGAAAGAAACTTGGGAATTAGAAGAGTAAAAGTGAAGCAAATCTGGAGAAAGGGGTTATTCACGACGTGAGAATTAAAGAAATCACGACGTGAATTAATGGTTCTAGAAGATATGTACGCGGGTGAAGAAATCCTTGGTGGGCACGGTTATCTACTACTCACGTCGTGAATTTATTATTATTCACGACGTGAATGTATGGATAACAGCAATTATAAAGATCCTTGACTATTACGAATAAAAGGACTTTTGGCAGAGGAAAAGGAGTTCCAGGAGACGTTTCAGAAGAGAAGAAAGGTCATGGAAGAGAGATTTCAACACCAAGAGAAGTAAAGTTTTATATTTAGTTGATTATAAACATGTTTTTCATTAGTTTTAGCTGTGTTAGTTTAATTACTATGATGAGCAGCTAAATTTAGCTACTTTTGCTTAGCTAGATGAAGCTTTGAACTTATGAATAGTTATATGTTTATGGATTAATTTGAGTTGGTAAGAATTGTTTGTGTTTGATTTGTATAACCTAGCATGTTATTATTTGTTTATCTAATTGCTAGATCGCATGTTCTGTGTAGCTTAGTGACCATGAAACTGCATGAACTTGTTTACCTAATAATTTAGTGAACATTAAATTGTTAGAGCTAGGATTGACCAATCTTAGTTAGTAATTAGACTGAATAAATCTTAGTTGTGCTAGAGAACATGAATTATGATCATAATTGTGTTTATACAACAAATCTTACATAGCATATCTATATTCATAATTAGTTCTGTGTTTAATTATGTGTGAACATACATGGTTTAACATGAATTAGTTACTTATTGGTAAGATAGAACTAAATTACTAATATAATTAAAACCCAACTTAATAACCCATAATCATTAGCTAGCCATAAGGAAGAAGTGGATTCAACTAAGCAAGAGTGTGTTTTTATTTAATTTGATTAAGTTCATCTGATCTTGCAAAATCAGATAAAACCCTTTATTAAATTTGTTAATAAATTAGGTTAATTTAATAGTAAGTAGATTAATTAGTAACACCGTTCCCTGTGATCGACACCCGAATTACCTAAGCTATACTGTAATCTGACTAGGTACACTGTAATTTAATAGTAAGTAGATTAATAGTAAGTAGATTAATTAGTAACATAGTTAGTCTTAGTAGTAAGTAGATTAATTAGTAACATAGTTAGTCTTAGTTAGTCATAATACTGTAATTTAATAGTAAGTAGATTAATAGTAAGTAGATTAATTAGTAACATAGTTAGTCTTAGTTTGTTAGGTTATAAATATTAAAATTAGTGGGTACTTTTGTGCACATCATCTATCTAGCATGGCTGGGCATATCTGCCCCTTCAGTCCTATCGATCGGTATTCTGGGGACTATTTCCCCTACTGTCACTAGCACATAGCATCATATCATACTAGCACATAAACATAACACAGGTAGTAGCAGCCCTAGATGGATATCATAGAGACAATCATCTAAACATACACTCCTACTAGTGGGCCGGCATTATGGCCTTAGACCCACTGCTATTGGAAGGTAACTCACCTTGTAGTAGCTGCTGAACTGTGCGGGAATCCTCTGACTGCTGCCGCTACTGATGCTCCAGAAATCCTCCGGCTATAATTCCTACAAAACACTCAATCAGAAACTAACATCTATTCTTAGGGTAAAATGACCGTTTTACCCCTGACCAAGTCAAAGTCAAAGTCAGCTTCTAGTTGACCTGAATCGCCGAGTTGGCCCGCCAACTCGTCGAGTCCCTATGCTTCCATTAGACCTCAAACCCATCTCTACTCATCGAGTTAGGTGATGACTCGACGAGTTTTCCCTCTAAAAGAACACCGACTGAATCCACATCCGACTCACCGAGTTGTATGAACAACTCGTCGAGTACCATGAAGATTTCCTTGGACTCGCCGAGTCTGTTCATGCACTCGCCGAGTACTATGAATTCCCAAAACACTTTGCTTAGTCGAGAACGTTGGGTCACTCCCCGGGACTCCTAAAAACCCTTCCACACTCAACTGGTCCTTATGACCCTCACCGATATGGGACGAAAACCCCTTGACTTGCCGAGCCTATCTCATTCCTTACCAAGAACTTCGATTTCTGATGTAAAATACTTAACCAAATGATAGATCCAGGCCCCTAAACTCGATCTTGCACGTAAAGTTACAAACTTTACGTGCATGCATGGGACATTAGAGCTTAAAAGGCTCTAAAATGGTTCTTTTGTTGCATGGGGCCTTCCTTGGTGTAAAAAGCAACCTAGATTTGACTTGTGGCTCATAAAATGACGTGATATAGAACCCAAACCCCCAACCATGTTTGCAAACATGGTTGGCCACCAAAAATGGCTTAAAAAGCCTTAAACACCTCAAAGAGGGATCTAACAAATGAATAAGCAAGGTTCAGACTTTATACCTTCCAAAGACTACAAATGATGAACCAAACTCGAATCCTTCAATCCCTTGTTGATCCTTCTATGCTCTTCCTTCTTCCTTGAGATCAAAACTCAAAAGAATCACTCAAAAAGCCTTAGATCTTCACAAAAACGTCTAGGGTTTGCTATGAGGAGCGTTTGCGAGCATAAAGAGGGAAAGGAGGCTGCATAAGGTCATTTAAATAGGGTGCAAACCTCTGGATTAGGGTTTTTGTCCAAACAACGGCTACTCGTGGAGTCCGGGACCCGACTCACCAAGTCCGTAGCTCAGACCCCGCGCCTCATCCCGATTCTACTCGGCGAGTTAGTCCTTCGACTCACCGAGTCCACAGCTGAAAATGCAAAAATAAATGACGATTTGATAACAGAGTATGTACCAAGAACCAGGTGCTACATAGACCCTTGGCGTGTTAATGTTTTGCATAATTGGTCCCTAGGGGCAGATTTGCAACTTTAGGAATGTTGGAGTTCGTTGGGTGTACTGGTGCATTCTAGATCGTGGGTCTAAATCACGTACACGGGGCATACATGGAGTACGCATGATGTACATGGACATGAGTGAAACCTTAATTTTTAGGATTTGCACCCTATTTAAACCTTATGATAGCCTCATTTGGTCATGTTTAGCCAACCTCCACCTTCCTTTGTCTAGAAATCGAAACCCTAGTGTGTTTTTGTGAGTTTGAGCCATAAAGTGTGTTTATTGGTGGTTTGAGAAGGAGAAGAAGAAACTGATTACTTGCAGAGGTGTCTTGAGCTGGAAGATCCAGGTTAGCTCATCATTTGCAAGCATTTTGAGGTAACAAACTCACATCTTGATGATCCATGATGCTAGATCTAGTTGTGTTGTCATTTTATGCATTTTCAGTCCTTGTAGTGATTGATGAGCTTCTTGACTCACTCCAGAAGTATTGGTGTTAGATCTAGACTTATTTTGGTCCCCTTGTTCA